TTACCTCGAAATGGAAGTGAGCTCAACTATTATAATTCACTTATGAGAGAGAAAATCTGAAGAGAACATTCTAATCATGAATATGCATTTTATGTTTACTTGTCTTGTGGTTTATGCGTCTAGATAATACAGCTTCTAGGCTTACATAATATTACTAACTGTTGAATTGTTCTTTTGCAGCTTTTTCTTTAGGGACGCTTATGACCAATATTTTCTTCCATCGTATTACTAGTTTATGTTATTATACTTGTAATAATTTTTTAAAATTCATACTACTTTTTCTTTTTTTATAGATTGAAGAGGAGCGCAGGTCTACTGATCAGCTTAAGGACCAACTCGATAAAACACAAAATAGTATTAAGCGAAATAAGCGTGAAATGGATGCTTTAGAAGAAGAGAACTCTAACCTAAAAGCTTATCGTAGACGTTTACAAAGGGACCTGGACGAAGCGACGGAGGCTCGCGAGGCTGCTGAAAGGGACCTTGCTACATTACGTAAATTGAGTCGGTATGTAACGTTAAGTAAATACAATTTTACTATTAGGACATGACAACAGAACTGCATTACAAACATGCTATCTGTCTTATTTTATTTCTTCTGCACCTGTATTTAGATTTATGATACTGTTACGATCATTAAGATCTGGATATGGATTTATAATATTGTTACTATAGTTGTGAGGAATTGTCCCGAAAATTTAGGTGTCTGCTCTTAACCCGACTACGCATATTTTAAGTTTATTTTTAGTGCTGCTTAGACTTGGGATGAGTTCGATATTGCAGCTTGCTATGAATAAGGATGACTTTTTGGACTAGATGACGCATTTAATTTAAAGTGTATGATTCAAGCTATATATAATTAATCTTACACAAACTTGTTATTATCTAATGTTGTTTATTCCAGAAAGATGCAATTCAACATCACCATAATTAATTTTATCAGGTCTGTTCCAGAATTATTACCTATACATTTTATTATTACGTCTTTCCAGCACCGCATTGTATAATATGAGACTTCCAAAAATCCGAGCGGTTGACGCGACACAATTGGAACAGAGATTTAAGAACTTCGAATAAAATTATCGCTTTCTGTTTGAGATACTTTTATGTCCTGTACTATTCTAAGTCTAGGACTACTTAAGTTCAATAGTAAAATTTATAAAGCATTTGTGCTAATATTATGCACTTCAGTTTTGAAATCTTCATTAACTTTATTTGTATATGTCTAGAATAAAGGTTAGGCATATAGTTCTTTTCCTTATTTAGGGCTAATTTATAAAGGTATCATAAACAGAATAGCAAAGATATTTATCATGACTAAACTGAATTAAATGACCACTGTTTTCTTGAGTATACATATGATATTGTTACGATGATTAAGATCTGGATTTAGATTTATAATATTGTTACGATAATTAGAGTAAGCATTATAATTTCATTAGAAGGAATTGTCCCGAAAATTAAGGTGTTTGCTCTTAACCCGAATACGCAAATCCATTTTTAACAATAACTCTATAGTGACAATTATTTGATGCATAATTTGTGTAACTTACTCTTCTGGTAGCGTTACGGCTTGACACATGAATCCCGTTGGGGGCTATAATTAGATCTATGCAGAGCTTGAAATTCAACCAAACCCTCATGAGAAATAATCTTGTGAGATAAGGGTAAATGAGATGCAAATGTATCTATTTGTCATTTTATTTGCTTTTGATAATTTTATTTATTAATTCCTCTATCAAGTAGAGGAATTCAAGATCATCCTCCTTTTATAATCGGCCTTTGCTATGAGCTAAGTAAGCGTCTCTCATAAAGGACTACCCTACATAATTCTAATGCTTTTTCAAACCTTGTCAGTGGGCCAAGATCGAGTCGAATAGCGCCTTCACGCATTTCGGCGAGAACAGGCGATGATGGCTCTGATGACATGCAATCTAGCCTTCCTGACATTGATTTACCTTCTGATTCTTCCGTCGCGCCAAATCATCACAATACATCTGGAAACGAAGGTGGTATGGCTTAATCTACAGGCGGTCAGATTTAACCATAACCTTAATCCTGTCCAGAAATTCTTATCACTGTCTTGTGGCCTTTGGTCGCTGGCTCGCTTCTATTAATCTCCGTATTTTTTCCATCTTGAACTTATCCAGCTAATTTTTTATCACTTACCTCTAGAAGAATACCATCGTGCTGACCCCAGACATTTGATAGCATCCAAAATTATTTTCATTGCTTTCAAGCCGACCTCTCTTACAGGAAATGGCGCAATTATTCCTCTTAGACACTTTGCGTCGCTTTCTCTTTTGAGCCTAAATTAAATCAATTGCCTTCCTCTGCTTAGCCTTGATGGCTTTATTCATTTTGCTTTTTTCAATAATTTCATGATCTAATTAGTGCTTATAGGTCAAATACGAGGATACATGAATACTTTGCCTTCCACTTATAAAAACCCGGTAGGTTTGTTGTGACTGAAACGAGATGACCGTAAAATGTGAAAGGACTTTCCTTTTGCTTGTTTTGTCGGTCTTCCATTTTTTCCTCTTGCCCAGACGAACAGTACACAGTTTCATTCAGACTCTACCAATGGAATTTCACTTTCTTGGGAGGCTTTATTTTATGCTCTTGCCTTGCATGTTTCTGGAGCGTTTTTTGCTCTCGTGCACCTACTCTAATTCAACGTTTTTTACTTTGTGCATGGATTTTATTCTTTATGAATTTTCTCAGTAATATGGGTGAAAGATTTTCATGTTCTGATCTTACGTTTTCGTTTTCGGATTTATGAGTAACTTAGTGATCAGGGCCTAGTTTGAACTTCGTTACTATATTTCGGTTTGTTTTTAATACACAAATTAATATAATATAACAGTTATTAAGAATCCTTGAGATAATTTAAGTTCATTAACATCATGCGAAGGGAGAATTCAATATACCTTTTATTTGTTATCTCTCTAACTCCTGTCTTAATTAAATTTATCTTTTCGAATCATTCAAATTGATGTGTAAGGACTTGATTAGATGAATATTTTCCAAGCGTACATTCAATTTTGCCTAATCCTTCCTTTGCTATTCACTTCATATTTTAATTTTGACTTTAATTTCTTTTAATATTCTACTATTTTTTCCCTCCACTCTCGTTCTTCGGTAATGCATCTATTGTTTATAAATTTTTCATTTAATTCATAAAAGCCAATTTATTCATCAGCGCTCAGGCTTTCTAGGTTCTTGTACAGAACAAATTTGCTTTTTCTTTAATTTTATCAGTTTATACACGTGTTGCGTCGTTTTGTTTATTTGATCGAATATCTTCAAATGAGCTTTTATTGAGTGACTCGATCTAATTATTACGTTTTTAACCAGCCTTTTAATCCTGCATTATAGCTATAATAATTCTGCTCAGATCATGAAACTTATTAACTATTGATCATTAAATAGTGATTAAACTATTAATTCTTTTTATTTTTAAGCCTTAGGCATGTCGGTATCTAAAAAGAAATGCTGTCTTTTAAGTTCGTTGTATAATATCTTCCTATTTATTCCAAGTTAGCAATTATAATATTTAGAATTGAATGATAGCCTGCATAGCATATTTATGATTAAAAACAGTATTTATGTTTGAGATTTCTTCCCTTTATTATGGCCATTTAGAATTAAGTTATAATATTTCACGAGTTCTCTTCTTTCCAATCTG